GTGTGTGTGTGTGTGTGTGTGTGTGTGTGTGTGTGTGTGTGTGTGTGTGTGTGTGTGTATTAGGAATCTGAGCTCTGAGTTTGTCGCCAATGTGACGGAGACGTCAGTGGTGGTGAGTGTGGATGGACTGGGTCAGTACAATGCCTCCGTGAGCAGCTGGACTCGACTCGGAGTTGGAGGAATGCTGATTTACATCACATTCAGTACCATAGAATCAGGTGAACACAAACACATTCTGTTCCAAACCACCTAGACAACACTTTATAGCAGCATCGCAAGTATCCTAGAATGAACTGTGAAAACATTTGGAGATGAGGGAAATATCAGATGTACATAAGTAAATTACATTACAGTAATAAATTACATCTTAAAATATATTAAAATAAAAAACAGTTATATGAAATTGTGAACAAATGCTCAAATAAATGCAACCTTGGTGAGCTTAAGAGACTTCTTTCAAAATTTTACCAACCCTGAAATTTTGAAAGATTGAAAGAGTATATTTTACTTGGTACTAAAAAATATTAATAGAAAATAACAGAACATTTAACTTCTTTCTGGACGTCTGTTATAAGGTTTAGTTTCATTTAGCCTAGAGAGCGAGGCAGCTCACTAGGTTTTGAAAAAGAACCACAATATCATGAAACCGCATTGCCCTCATAGTCATTATAGTAAATCCTTTCTCTGTTTTGCAGCCCCCTCTGACCCTCCACAGAATGTGTCATACACACTCCTCACTACCACTACAGTGTGTCTCAGCTGGAGTCCTCTGAACGAACCCAACGGCGTCATCCAATACTACACAATCTACTACATCCACAATTATACCGAGTATTATCAGGTATACTGTATACACTCACACAGATGAGTATTGATCTTTTTGGAGACACTAAACGTGGTGGCATTCTGTTTTTGAATGTTGAATATTTGAATATATTTCAAAATTTACTCTTGTGATGTAAAGCTGGATTTTCAGCTTCATTACTCCAGTCTTCAGTGTCACATGATCCTTCAGAAATCATTCTAATATACTGTGTTTTTCTTGTGTTGATGTCCTCACTAGATACATTTGACAGGTTTTACTGTCATGATCAGTTGTGAAGAAAGAAATATGTAGCACAAAGTACCATGTTTTTTTGAAAATGTACCATTTAATAGTATTCTTTGAAGTAGTTTGGACCGTGTAAATACATAACTTATCAAAGCATACATTTATTAATTAAATGTTTCATTAATTAAAAGGATTGTTCTTTATACAGCAAATGGGTGAATTTTTTAATCTCTGGGTCATATTTCCCTCCAAGATTTAATTTTTTTTTATTATATATTAAAATAAAATGAATAAATATGTCACTTTATTTAAATATAAATAGAAATGTTTATATAAATTGATAATTTTTTGCAATGATAATTATTGAAAAATAATGAATTTATTAATGATAAGTATTAGAATATATATCGATTTATTAATTAATTGAATTTTTGTGCTTTCTGACACAGTTAAGCCCACATCTGTACATGTAATGGTTTATTATATTATCATCTGATACTTTCATTTGTACCATGGAACCACCACAGTACTTTTTACAAAAGATTTAGGCCCAATCCCAATTCTATTTTATACCCCTTCCCCTACCCCTCCGCCTACCCCTTCCCCTTGTCCCTTGAAACAGAGTGTCAAGGGATAGGGGTGAAAATAATCCCCCCTACCCCTCCAACCAAAAGAGAATCGAGACACCCCTACCCCTTCACGTGAACGCGCGAAACGGAGGGGTAGGAGAAAGGGGAAGGGCTAAGGGGTAGAATTGGGATTGGGCCTTAATATCTATATGAATAGCTAGACCAACTAAACACATAAACACATTTTAAACTCCGAATGAAATGCTGATTCAGTCGTGCAGTGAATGACCATGTTCTCTTTCTCTCTCTGTAGACGGTTCCGGGTTCAGAGCACTGGTGGGTGTTGTCTGATCTGAAGGCAGGACAGGAATACAGTGTATGGATGAGTTCCAGCACTTCAGTTGGTGATGGGGGAGTGTTCAGTCCCCATCTAAACTTCACCATGTTAGAGGACGGTCAGTCTCCTCACACACTCAGGGGAGAAGCGCAGCTCTGCACCACTTTTCCAACAGATTACACTCCCAAAAAAATCACACTGAAACTCATCAACACACCCACATGCATGCACACAGCACACATTCAGCACATTTTGTGAAAGGAGACAACTTCCTTCAAGCTGCAAACTGGGATTGTTGAGTCCTCACCACGAAACCGAGTTGGTCTGGTCTCAAAGCCTTTTATTTGTCGGTCTCTAGACTATCCCAGCTTGCATTTCCTCTCACAGGATTTGTTGAAAATAGAAAATAGCACGTTGCTGTACGTTTCTGGGTACATTATGCAACATGTTATATATTTGGCTTCGAGAATATAGTAAATGTGTCAGTTTCACTTAAGAAACATCATAAAACTGTTCGAGAGCAATTGGAGACTTTTTTTTTTTTTTGCTAAAGTCTCCTGCTTCTCAGATGTTTGTCCTGAGAAAAAGAGCCCAGTAATGTCGTATGCTTTTTAAAAGAGATCTCAACAATGTCTCAAACTGTGCTCAGATTTGCCAAAATCTGCAGGTCAGAGATCTCACTATAAACCCAAACATTTCTCATGAAGCAGCTATATGCTTTATTTTTATAGCTCTATGCTTTTAATATATGTCAACAGCTCTCGCATTTGTGCTCTCCTAAAATGAGTTATTTCATACCATATGTGCTTATATGAATATGATGACCTGATTTCAGAATCTATACCACATGCCAAGGTTTTATGTAAGAGTCATAATAAGCAGTTTTTGTGTGATTTTGGGAAAAACGGTGCAGAGGTGACCTTCTGAAACAAATGAAGGTTTTTCTTCCCTGGTGTCTGAGATTTTGAAAGTGTTCTATATGAATAAATAATGCCATGGTCCTGTTTGGCTCTTTGTGAGTGATTGTGTCTGATCGGTTTGCAGTTACTGGAGAATCACCCAGCTTCAGCAGCTCACTTCAGCACAAAGCAATATCTCAGACACAGAACATGCTCCAGATGGATTTTCCTACTAACACAATCAGCCTGTCTTCCTCTGCTTCTCTCTTCTTTCCTATATCTGTGATCTTGACTCTTGACGATTTTGCAGACGCTGTGCCGGAGTTTATTTACCATTTTTCATTTCCACAGACTCACAGACGTGTGTAATTGCTGAATATCATGTCCATGTGTGTGTTGTATGTGTGCTTTTGTATTTTTTTAATGAATATTTTAATTTCTTGGTTTAAGATGGATCATTTATCTTCACTGCTTTTAATCAGAATAATTGTTGACTGGTTTGAATCGTTGACTGGTTTGATGTTGCAGTGTGCCATTTATGCTTTATTTAAGCATAAATTAATTAATTAAATAATTAAAAGGATAGTTCTTTGTACATCTAATGGGTAAATCTCGATATCTGGGTCATATTTCACTCCAAGATTTAAAAATATATATATATATATTTTATATTAAAATAAGACCATAAATGTATATCATGATCATTATTTTAAAAATATTAATTTGTTAATTAATTCAAAATGATTTATTTATTTATTTCGTATAAAGTCAATTTTAGAACATTTATGATTTTTTGATCTTTTTTATTTTTTATGATCTCTACCTTTTAATAGTCCTTCAACAGTCTTAATTTTTTAATGTAAATACAGTTTTTTTTTGTTTTTTTTGAGGTGAAATATGTCCTGACATTGCAAGCTTTCATGAGATAAACCCTAATTTTGTTACTTTAGATTGGGGAACAAAGCCTCATTCCATTTCTTAGTTGCACTTGAACCAACATCTATTACTTAGACTGCAGTGATTTGTTCCCTGTTCTAAAGTGTAACTGTTGGCCGTTCTTCATATATTATATATATTCATATATTATTAACTGTATCTCTTCCACACCCTCCCCCTGCTGCAGTGCCGAGTGGTCCAGTCCACAACCTCACCGCTACGATCTACAGCTCTACGGCTGTTGTGATCAGCTGGGACCCTCCTCTGGAGCCCAACGGCAGAGTCTTCTATCAGCTGAGCCTCCAAGAGGCGGGAACAACCCACCCATCCATTAACCGCACAGTCAACATCACTATCACCAAAACTACCACAGACAACATCTTCCTCTTCACCAAGCTCAGGAAGTATTTTCCCTACATCATAAAAGTCACCCCTGCAACCAGTGCAGGATCTGCCGTAAACCACACTGCAATGCTACTCCTGCTAACAGATGAAGACGGTACGCGTCACTTCCTGTATTTAACATGCACATGGATATAAAGCATACTTATTGATTGAAAACTCTTGTGTGTCTGTGTTTTGACAGTGCCAAGTTCTCCTCCGTTGCCTGGAGCTAGTAGGAATCTCTCCAGCACCTCCATCCATGCATCATGGTTCCCCCCAGTAGAGGCCAATGGCGAGATTTTAGATTATGCTCTAGTTTTACAGGGTCCTGGGACCGTCAACAAAACCTACACCACTGAAACACACCTAATGCTTTCAGAACTCACTCCATTTACACCTTACAATCTCTCCATCGCTGCGGTCACCCGCATAGGTGTCGGGCCCTCTGTGATTATTCCACTGCACACTGATGAAGCAGGTCAGAGACATATAATTATTGCTATTCTAGGGGAACTGATCTGTTTAAAAGATTTTCCAAAATGTAATATTTAAATTCAAATTTGGAATTTGTTTTGATATTTGAATATTTAAAAACAGAAAAATTGAAAAGCCTGTTGTTTGATCTTTGAAAATGTAAACTTTTGTTCAACTTTGAATCTTTAAGGCATGGCTTTGAAATTTGAATTCAGAATTTGACATTTGAAATTTAAAAACTGAAATTTGAAGTAAAAGTTGAAAAACAACAACAAATTACAGTTGCCAAAGTCTTAAAGAAAAAAATATTTAAAAAAAAGTATAAATAATCATAATAATAAAATATAGATAATAGTAAAAATAAATGTTTAAATTAAGAAATAGATGGTTTCAAATGTGCATCATTAAGTTTATCCCAATCCTCTATAGTGTTGTTTCTGTTGTTTTTAAATCACAACTAATTTTCTCTCTAAGGGCAATGACCCTGAAATGGTTAAACCACGTTTTTTATTGTTGGAGTCCAAGGGAAGACTTCAAATCTTAAGTCTGAAATTTCAAATCTGTATATCCCACTTTGCAAATTCATACAATTATAAATGTGCACTGCAGACTTAATGTGTCTAATGTATTATATCCTTTTTGTGTGTCCAGTCCCAATGTCTCCACCACACGATCTGATTATTTTTAACCACACTTTGAATTCAGTGTGGCTTCAGTGGGAACCTAGTCCAGAGCCAAATGGAATCGTCCAGCACTACGGATTCCGAATACTCGAACTAAACACATACACTTTCAGATATCAGGTAGTATACCCCTATGTCTATGTAATACAGTATATGTGATTCTGTTCTCATGTTTTTCATGTGTGTAAATTAAACTTCATATGCCTCTGTTTACCCAAGAACTCATCGGATGCGTCCACAAAATCAGAACTGAGTGGATTTAGACCTTATAATTCATATGAAATCAGCGTGTGCGCATTCACTAGAGCAGGAAATGGGGATCAGTACAGCCTGCCTGTCATATTCACTACCAATGAATCAGGTAATAAACACTCACACATCCATCCATCCGTGTCACATGATCCTTCAGAAATTATTCTAATATACTTATTTGGTGCTCAAGAAACAATCCTTATTATTGTCAATGCGAAAAACAATCTTACATAAAATGTAAAAAAAAAAAGAAATTGAGAAAGTTGAAACTTTTATTAAACTTTAGGTTTTAATTCTTTTAGTCTTGGCTTTGAAATTAGAATTTGGAATTTGTTTGATATTTCAAATTTTAAAACTATACAAATACAAAAAAAAAAAAAAAACATATACAAAGCCTTAGAGATCAAATGAAGAAGAAATTAAGATATATCTGTGCTGTTGGTGTGTATGTTTCAGTGTCAGATGCCGTTGGGAATCTAACCTGCTCTGGATTGGATTGGAATTCAGTGTACATGGAATGGGAGCTTCCGATTCATTCTAATGGAGAGATTCTGTACTACCTCATTCGCTCTGGAACTCTGGAGGAGGAGGCTCATCCTCTCATGCTCACACACAAAGTGGCGCACACTTTCATTGGCCTGTTGCCTGACGTTTTCTATGTCATCAGCGTGGCTGCAGTTAATTCAGCCGGAATAGGGGAAGAAACCAACTGCACTGCACACACTCCACCAGAGTCAGGTAACATGTCTTAAAAGAGTAGATCACCCAAAAATGAAAAATTGCTGAAGATTTAACCTCCGGCCATTCAAGATGTAGGTGAGATTGTTTCTTCATTAGAACAGATTTGGAGAAATGTAGCATTACATCACTAGCTCACAAATGGATCCTCTGCAGTGAATGGGTGCCGTCAGAATGAGAGTGCAAACAACTGATAAAAACATCACAATAATTCAGAAGTAATCCACACCACTCCAGTCCATCAGTTAATGTATTGTGAGGTGAAAAGCTGTGTTTGTAAGAAATAAATCCATCATTAAGATGTCAAAAATATGAGTCCATAATAACTCGTCCTCCAGTGAAAAAGTCCATCCCCTGTTGTCCTCTCACATCAAAATCCACAACATTTGGACTGTTTTCACTTGTAAACGGTGCATATTTCTCTCCTGATTCAGACAGGATGACTTTCTCACTGGAGAAAGCAATAGTATGAATAGAGGACTCTGTATTTTAGCGAAAATACTCTGTATTTTAGCCAAAATTTCTCCAAATCTATTCTGATGAAGAAACAAGCTCTTCTACATCTTGGATGGCTTGAGGGTGAGAAATATGTCAGCAAATTTACATTTTTGAGTGAGCTGTTCTTTTAAGTTTGTCAGTCGTATTGATTGTTTACACTTAGGATTTGAAAAAACCCTAACAGTATTAAACTTCGGCATGTAACTCATTCTGCACAGACATGCTCATACAGATCGTTTCTTTCTCTTTCTGCAGTTCCTGGTCCCCCCCAGTTGCTGACCATAATGGACGTTACCTCTGACAGTGTGTCTCTGAGCTGGGAGCGTCCCGTCCATGTTCCTGGTCTGTTGCAGGGTTATAATGTAGAGATTCAGCAATTGGCAAGAAATTGTGAGCAAAAGCAGCATATGGAGTCCTGCGTGGAGAGTGGGCTTGTGGAGTGGGTTGAAGGAGAAACCAGTGGAGTCACACTTTCCCCTCTGCTGAAATATAGAGAGTATCGTATCAGACTGGTGGCGTTCACCAGGGCAGGAGCCGGAGAACCCTCCGTCTGGATCCACACACAGACACTCGTAGGAAGTATGTTACACATGCGCATAAACATATTCCCATAAGAAAGAAAAATCACAAATGAGATGTTTAATATCTCGTATGTTTATTCTAGACAGAAATAGGAGACTTTTGCATGAGTCGCCCACTTTTCAGATGTTTCCCCTGAGAAAAAGATCCTAGTCTCACATGTCTTCTCTCGAGCTTCAGAAGAGATCTTACCAATGTCAGATCTCAATATAAACTTAAACATTTCTCATTCAATTTTTTTTTTTCAGATCACTATCCACTTTGATTTTGACTCTATACTCTCACTGTATGTCTACAATTCAGTTGTGTCTGTTTTATTGTTCCTAAGAAAATTCTGAGGCCAGGCTAATACTTAAAACGCATATTTATTTTAAAACTTAAAAAAAAAAAACTTAGTATAGTTTCTAAAAAACTAAAAATATAGAAATATATAGAAAAAGTGTTTTATATATATATATAATATTTGTAATTTTGTTTCTTTTTTATTTGTCTATATATTTTTTTAAATGAATTTAAAAATTTAAATATATAAGTAATTTTTTTACTTTTTTCCAAAATTTGTCTATAGTTTCCAAAAAAAAAAAAAGGAAATAAATAGAAAATATATCTAGAGGCCAAACATTATTTTTCTTGTTTTTCTGAGACAAGCAACGAGATATTAATATTTGCATGGCCTCTGTGAGCTTCACTGTGTTTGGAATACATCATTTGTCTTTCACTTCTGTTTGACACTGCTATGAAATCTCTGCAGTGTTCAGGGATCTTGTGAATCAGTGCTGCATTCTCACGATTTTAGTTCCATACTGGAAATCAATGGCCAATATTGTTGAAACGCTGCCCAATCCATTAGCTTTGATTCAAGAACTCTCGAGATCGACATTTTTTCCACACATTTTTAAGTATTTGCCTTTTGCAGAGAGCGTTCTTTGGTCTACGTGGGAGCAATATGAGAAGTACAGCTTAGAGGAAACGTTTATTAAGTCTCCTGATTTTTTGAGCTATATCATTTTCCCTTGGGTTGTCATATGCATATAGCAAACCCTTATTTGTTTTGTCTTAGACCCTGATGCCCCCCCTAGTGCCATATCAGTGTTTCCTTCTCCCACTGGGTTAAAGATTGTGTGGGACGAACCGTCGGTCATCTCAGGGCCCACCTCATACATCATTGACATCACTGCTGTGAGTTCATAAACTTGAGAAATCTTGTTCATCTGTTGACTTTCTGAAAGTTTCTGCTTCAGTTTCTCCTTGTCCTCTTTCAGTTGGACGGTTCGGGATATAACATAAGCCTAGTGCGGTATTCAGAGGAGATCAGGGCGGTGGTTGTCGGGAACCTGACTGCATTTACCCTGTACTCTATTACCATCACCGCCTTCACGGGACAGCTTTCCGATGCTCGCACAGACGGCAAAGCATCTGAACCCGTCCTCGCCAGAACCCTGGAGGACGGTGAGGATGTTTGTGCATGCTTGATTATCAGATATCCATTGAATGCATGCATGCATGACTTATTTGTGACATTCATGGTCATGTTTTCCCAGAGCCCAAAGATCCTCCCAAAAACGTGACATTGACGGTGATCCCAGAGGAAGTGACACGTGTTTATGTAACGTTCTCTCCACCGGATGAGCCGAACGGAAACATTAGTGCTTACCATGTCGCCATCTATCGCAACGGACAACTGGACTTCTACATCAACAGCCTGCCTGTGATCAGCAACCCTAATAATACCATGACGGCCATTATAGATGGACTGAAGGGTGGATTCAATTACAGCATAAGGGTAGGAAACTAAAACCTAAACATTTTAGGAGCGTTCACACCAACATTTTTTCACTTGGTTTGATTGTTTGCTCCAAAGTGCATCTCCAGCCTCTTCCTTTACATGCACAGGTCTCTTTCATACACTCAAAGGCAAAAAAAGCTACAAAGCCGTCACTGGGGCAGTACCCTAAGGTACAAAAGCTAAAAGATACATCTTTGTACCCTATTTACCCCTAAATAGTACATATTAGTACCTTAAAGGTACATATTAAGAGTACCCCCCCCCCCAAAAGACAGCTTTTGTACCTTTTTTTCTGAGAGTGTACTGAACTGAAGTACGTTTGCATCATCTGATACCACTGTGAGCACTGGCGGCAGCTATTTAAAGCTGTATCTAGGTAACAACAGAGAAGGCAGCACCAAAATGGAAAGCAATATTTGCATCAGTCTTTTAAATCATGTTTTTATTCCTTTTAGTTTTAAATACTAAAACTTCACCTGCATGGAATGGTACTTGTTGCTGTTTGCTGACTTCCACAATTAGGCTAAATGCATTTGTTTTGTACTTGTTGTAGATAGCAGCTGTGAATGGAGCAGGTTTAGGACCAAGTTCAGAGGTTCAGGTCACCACAGGTGTGAAAGGTATGAGAAAACCTAATGCTTTGTTAGTTAGCTATAGTATTTTGCTGAAGTGTCTGTCATTTTAAGATTCTGGCGGGTTTATTTAGCACCACCCAAACCGTCGAGGAGGCCGCGGGCTGCTCTGAACAACGCAGGTGTCATCATCTCTACCTCCAAGACCATCACCATTGAGATGCCTGAGTGTTTCTTTGCAGATGACCATGGACCAATCCAAAAAGTCCAGGTCATTGTTTCTGAACCAGCAGGTATTAAAAAAATGACATTTAACACTAGCAATAATGGCACTTTAAGGAGATTTTTTTAAAAGATATGAATACTTTTATTCAGCAAGGATGCATTAAATTAATCAAAAGTGACAGTAAAGAAATGAAAATTATTTTAAAATGACATTTTAAAATATATTCAGAATATTATTTCACAATATTAACGTATAAATGCAGCCTTGGTGACCAAATGAGACTTCTTTCAAAACATTAGAAAGGTTTATTGGTATCTTGTTGTTCTAATGTTGATGCAGTGATGGACTACGGTAATCTGTCAAACTGGAAAAGTGTTTTCCTCTACCCTACCGCACCGTACCTGACCGACGAGGGCTTCTTGAACCCAAAGTGCTTGGAGAAAGCAGAGCGCATGAGCACAAACACTAAAACATACATTATAGGAGCAGATGAGGGCTGCCTGTCTGAAGATGCCAAGACACTTTGTAATGGACCCCTCAAACCCAAAACATATTATGTGTGAGAGACATAGGCACACACAACTAATCTGTGTTGTAAATATTTTAATCCAACCTGTTTCCAACTGTTTATTTTTTGTATTGTAGGTTCAAATTTCGGGCAACAAACATCCGTGGGCAGTACACAGACTCTGAGTACTCAGATAGGGTCAGAACAGCAGGTATGGACGCAAGTAGCACACAAGGACTGTTACAATATTAATGCACCGAGACCAGCTGTGATGTCTCGCTTACATTTTCCCTCTCAGATTTTCGTACTTTCAGTATTGTTTTTTTTATATACTTTCAGTATTTTTCACATTGAGTTAAAGAGATAGTTCACCCAAAAATAATAGGGGTGGCATGATACCATGTTTTCAGAACCGATCCCGATCCGATACCAAAAGTTCTGAGTATCGGACAATACCGATACCAATCCGATACCAGCACAGTTTTTTTATTTTTTATTTCTATACCTCAGTGTGTGTTGGCCTGATCATCACTCTTTTGTGTATTACACACAATCTACTAAATATAGACAACTTCATTATAAAGAAAAATAACAAATAAAAAAATATATAATCATAATCTGAGAAAAATACTATTATAAACTAGGTTAGTGGATAATTCAGCAGCAAAAGTTAGTCTACAAAAATGATGAGTTCACAATAATTTTATAAAATCTAAACATTTAGAGAAAAAACATTATTTAGTGGGGGAAAAAATAAAAGTAAATGGGTGTAATCTGGTCAAATGTTACACATTGCTCTTTGTATTGTAATATACATTCATGAAAAACAAGTAAATATAATTATATATAAATATATGCAATAAATTAAATACATTTCTTTTACATTTATAGCACAGTAATGAGGCAGCAACATATGATAGATGAGACAGAACAAGAAAGGCTATTAACAATCTTTCATTGCGCAAAAGTTTCGTAGTCTTGACTGTCGTAACTGAACTCGACGCGCAGCTTGAACGCTGAATAGAGGATGACTGACAGCTGCAGCGGAGAGAAGGGCTTACGTGAACTTGAATTTAATGACTTAAATATTCATCTGTACCTCACATTAAACTATGGAACGGTGTCAGAACACTTGAAATATAGTGCACGGAAACTTTATGGTGCTTAATGTTTTTGTGGCTTTCGTGGGGCTTAACAATAACACAGAATAGTATACGCACTATATCGGATTTGGATCAGTCTCAGCTGACCGATACCCTGATCCAGCAGGAAAATGCCATTATCGGAGCGATACCGATCCTGAATATCGGATCGGCGCACCCCTAAAAAATAACAATTCTGTCATTGTTTAATCGTATGGACAACTTTTATGATACTTTTATGGTGTTTTTTTAATTTTGGAGCTTGGCAGCCCCAGTCCTTATTCACTTTCATTATATTAAAAAAAAGAACAGATATTCTACAAAACAATTTTCTTTTGTGTTCCACAGAAGAAAGTAAGTCGTACAGATATGACATATAACAACTTTGAGGGTGATTAAATCATTGCACCCCTTCTGTTTTTTAATTTTAAAATATTTCTATTCCTTTTTTTTTTTTTTTTACTAATTACAACTTTTATATATTTTTTTACTTTTCAGTTATTTATTTTATAAATTATTGACACAGTTTAAAATGTGTTTATATAACTTTACAGTATGTTATCTTACTTTTACTTTTTAATATTTATTTTTTTCCCCTAAAATTGCAAATAGAAATAATTGTATATTGTCTTATGATATTTTGGTTAGCATTTCTCCTTTTTTATGTACACTACCATTTCATTTTAATTAAGACTTTTTTTTTCAGCAAGGACACATTAAATTGATCAAAAAAATGGTTACAAAAGAAAAAAATCTATTTGAAATAAATTGTTCTTTTGAACTTTATATTCATCATGGTTTCCACAAAAATATGAAGCAGCACTACTGTTCTCAACACTGATAATAAAAAGAAATGTTTCTTGAGCAGCAAATCAGCATATTAGAATGATTTCTGAAGGATCATGTGACACTGAAGACTGGAGTAATGATGCTGAAAATTCAGCTTTGCATCACAGGAATAAATTACATTTTAAAATATATTAAAGGGGTCATATGATGCATTTTTAAAGTCGTGTGACAGACAGTGATGAAGCTGGTCTCTCTCGCTCTCTCTCACACACACACGCACGCACACACAAACACACACACGATGCACAAAACTCCGCATTTGAACAGTCAATAGCAAATACTTAAACTAATAACAAAACAGTAGCTGATTCAGAAGCGCCAGATAGTCATAGCAAAGTCAGAATTACCTCCTCTCCTAGGTTCACGAAACGGTCGTCCATAAAATGCATTGCTGTTCTGTTGTAAGTAATCTTAAAGATTCCTAAATGCATCTACTTTCGGAAGGCCAAATAAAGTGCTTTTGCTTTCGCCTAGAAACACACAGCATCTCCCTGACATGGCTGCTTCAACACTAACTGCAGTTACTGAAACCACGCCTTCTTTCTTTGCGTGCACATTTGGGTGCATTATGCTAATATTTCCACATAGTGAGGTAGATATGTGGGGGCGTGTTAGAAAGAGCCGTTTTAGGGGGGCGTGGCAGAGTCTTAACTTTGATAAAGAATATCTCTTTGGTTTTGAGACTTTAGTCTTTGCAACTTCAGGGATCTTATCTATGCACAATCAGCTTGTAACACTCCAAAGAGAAAGGAAAACTTGAAATCGCATCATATGACCCCTTTAAAATAGAAAACAGTTATTTTTAATTGTAATAATTTTTCACAATTTTCCTGTTTTTACTATATTTTTTGATCAAATAAATGTAGCCTTGGTGAGCATTTCTTCAAGACATTTAATTTAAATCCATTAAAAATGTACTTATGTTCTTATACGTGTACCTTCTATAATGCTGGGCTTGTAGAACAGTACATTTCAATGTGAACAAGTACTGCTTCTGCTGTGTATAAATATTGACTGATTTCAGATAACCGCCTGCTGACCAGAGATGAGCAGATCATTCTTGGAGTCCTGCTGTCATTTTTCCTGGCGTTGTTTTTAATTCTGATTATATATGGATCTGTCAGGTAAGTTGAGTGTTGTTGTAAATAGGGATGCAACAACATACTCCAGTAGTATTTCGCAAAAGGCCCCTGGTTTTCCTAGTTTAACAACTGGACTCACTCTCTCCGATCCTAGGATCCACCGCAGGCAGAAGGAAGGTGGGACATACTCTCCACGCGAGGCTGAGATCATTGAGACCAAGTTCAAGTTGGATCAGCTCATTGCAGTGGCCGACCTGGACCTCAAAGAGGAGAAGATTAACCGGTGAGACATCGTCCACATGCTGTACATGAGCAGTGGGCTTTAGTTATCTGTGTTTATATGTCATTTTGTCTTCTGCTCTCTCTCTCTCACTCACTAATTTATTCATTGGCTCACTCACTCACTCATCCTTTCATTCATTCATTCACTCTCACTAATCCATTCAAACACTTGCACTATCCTCTGTTCTCAGGTATTCCTCCTTTTTCTTTAGAAGGAAGGAGATTTTTGTCATCCAGTAAGTAGACAGAGATGTTGGTGTTTAGATGATGCATGATCCCATGTGATGTGTAGTATCAGTATTTTCGTTCGTTTTAAAGATTACACGTTTTATTTTCCCAGTTGCATGTTGTGCTGTTAGTACTGGCGTTGAATGTTTTATTATGAATGAATATGCCGCACTAAATTATCTGCTTTGCCATAATTTGGGGCTGTTCGGTTTCATAATGCTGCTCTGTAGTTCTGTTCTGCTTTGTGTAGTTCTGCCTGAAAGATCACATGGAGTGACCCTCCGATTCGTTTTATGTTTGTGTGTCTTCCTCTAATTATATCGTGTGGTGAACTTCACACAGATTAATTTCTTATTTATCACTGGAAATGAAAAAGTAACCTAATTTTTCAGTGCAAGGCCAATTTCATAATAATTCTCTATTGTCTAATGTTCCAGGCTGCTAAGTTACAGGAAATCTCTCAAGTAAGTGAAGGAGACTTGATGGATTGATTTTTTTTTTTACTTATATTATTTTTTTTTTTTTTCTTATTCCTTTGTATGTTAGAAATAATGCTTGCTGTAGTGGTAATAATGCTAAAGATGATGATTGTTATGGTTTTGTGGGTATGTTTCTGCTCTGTTTATCTCTCCCTAACACATTTGCAGGCCAATCACTAAGAAATCATTTCTTCAGCATGTGGAAGATCTTTGTGCCAATGACAATGCCAAGTTTCAGGAGGAGTTTGCTGTAAGTTTTAGTAGTAAATGTGTGTAGGGGGGTGAGAGAGAAAGAAAGTACTGGTGAACTGAAAAATGAGTTTCAGTGACACTTCATTCTGATTGGACACATAGAGTTATGTGCTCAATAGCGTATGACTTTGCTGAATATTTTCTATGGTTGATTGATTTTCTTCCTGGTGTGTTTCATAATTGGACATTTTCTGCTGTGTGTTTCAGGAGCTGCCGAAGCTGCTTCAGGATCTGGCCACATCAGACGCTGACCTGCCGTGGAATCGCTCCAAAAATCGCTTCACAAACATTAAACCCTGTAGGAAAAATTTGATTGAATTCTGTCATTGTTTAGTAACTCATTTCAAACCTGTTAGACTTTTTTTGTTCTGTGCAGCACAAAAGGAGAGGTTTAACAGGCTGTCAAGCTCCAAAAAGCACATAAAAGCACCTCAGAAGTGTCCTATATGACTTGTGTGCTACACTACTATTCAAAAGTAAAATACAGTAAAAACAGGAACATTGTGAAATTATATTTCAATTTAAAATACCGGTTTTCTTTTAAAATGTAATTTATTCCTGTGATGTAAAGTTGAATTTTCAGCATCATTACTCCAGTCTTCAGTGTCACATGATCCTTCAGAAATCATTCTAATATGCTGATTTGCTGCTGAAGAAACATTACTTATTATTATCAATTTTGAAAATAGTTGTACTGCTTAATTTTTTTTTTGTGGAAACCATGATACAATTAGACATCTTTTTGTAAAAAGTAACAAATAAAAGAATAAAAGTATTAATAAAAAAAAAAATGAATTAAAAGTATTAATTAAAAATTCATCTTTGCAAGATGAACAGAGCAAAATTTTAGCCGATCTTAGTTGAGAATCTTCTCCAAATCTTCTCAAATGTAAATATGCAATAAGAAGCTACTACAGATTATCATATCATAGTTAGAAATTATCCCATGAACTACTTTTATAGGTTTTTTTTAAGCTTTTGTTTTTGTTATTCAGAATGTTTTTTTTGTTCCAAAAAAAGTCATGCAGGTTCTGAATGACATGAGAGTAAGAACATGATGACAGAATTTTAATTTCTAAGATATTTATTTCTTTGAAACTTACCAGGCTTGCTTTCTGTAAACTACCGCTACGTTTACATGGACAACAATATTCCGATTTTAACACGATTAAGACAATACTCTGATTAAGACTCTACCATGTAAACAGAGATTTTTGATTACCTTAATCCGGCTAAAGTCATCGAATTAAGACATGTTGAGTATTCCTATTTTAGTCACATTATTGAAGTGCAGTAAACATTTTGTGACAGGATACACACACGGCAGTGGTCAACCATTTGACGGCAAACAAAAGAGCATGGCTTCAACAACACCGTCGTCTGTTTGCACGTACAGCATGACAAATAATTAACTGCACTTGAAGCTTTCACTAAATTAAAAATGAAACACCCAAAACTGTATAGGGCATCATAACGAAGACAAACTCAAGGTGCGTCCCAAATCGCATACTTATGCACTATTCTATGACGTTTTGTAGTATAAATAGTGTGAGTAGTGTTTTCACACTGAAAATTCCAAAAAGAAAAAGTGCACTTTAAATACCCGGATGATGCACTTAAATAACCGAAAAAACTAAGTGTGGAATGTTGAACACTTCATGCACTCAACTGTCGCAGCTTTAATTACGTAGTGAAGGGGGAGGGGCTATCAGACTCCCTTTATGAATGACAAAATAACCTTATATAATTCATACACTACATGGTTGAGTACATAGTGTATAAGTGCATAGTGTATAGTGCGTCATTTGGGACGTAGCTTATATGTTTATACGTGAAATTCCGGAGGGGACGTCGGATGGCGTCACGTGGTGACGTAATGACGTATGCCATTAATCGATCTATGTGAGTGAGTGAGTGAGTGAGTGAGTGAGTGAGTGAGTGAGTGAGTGACGTGACATGTGGCCAAGTATGGTGACCCATACTCGGAATTAGTGCTCTGCATTTATCCCATCCTAAGTGCACACACACAGCAGTGAACACACACACACCGTAAACACACACCTGGAGCAGTGGGCAACCATTTTAGCTGCGGCGCCCGGGGAGCAGTTGGGGGTTCGGTGCCTTGCTCAAGGGCACCTCAGTCGTGGTATTGAAGGTGGGAGAGAGCGCTGTACATTCACTCCCCACACCTACAATCCCTGCCGGTACGAGACTCGAACCCGCAAACTTTGGGTTACGAGTCCGACTCTCTAACCATTCAGGCCACGACTTGTACTATAACATGTAAAACGGGAACATGAAAGGAATATTCTAAAAGCAACTCATGTAAACACCATAATCATAATATTGGCTTATTTAGAATAAGGTAAATAATTAGATTATTGATGTCCATGTAAACGTAGTCAATGTTAACACATATTTTAACATGTCTTTTTTAGATAACAATAGCCGAGTGAAGTTACTGTCTGAGCCAGGAATGCCGGGGTCGGACTACATCAATGCCAGCTTCGTCTCTGTAAGCGCTCGAGAGCAGCCCACATATCAGCTGTCTCTCTTTTATACCGAGGAACAACTGTAATTGAATTGGCCTAAGCTCCTGTTCTGTGTCTTGTCTCTGTGTCTCAGGGCTATCTGTGTCCTAATGAGTTTATAGCCACTCAGGGTCCTCTGCCTAGTACTGTCGCTGACTTCTGGAGGATGATTTGGGAGACGGGGACCAAAACCATCGTCATGCTCACTCAATGCTTTGAGAAGGGCCGGGTGTGTATGTGTGTGTTTGAATAAAACAATTTAGCCATTAGATTTATGTTTGTATATACTCTTATATATTATCTTAAAAATATGTTCTAAGGTTTTACAGTCTGATGTAATAGGAGAATCAAAGGAGTCCAACAAAGAACTTTTTTCTCTAGTTTTGATGCCATTGACTCATAAATATCATAATGTCTTTGTGAGAGACTTCCTTCCTAAAATATAAAGGCAGATATATTTATAATATTTATATTTTTCACTGCATAAATGGATTTTATACGTTAAATAGAAGTATGTATACTCATTTATACAGTGAAAAATGTATCTTTTATGTATTTATTTAATGTATAAAACCTGTTTATTTAAATATAAATATGTATAAATATTATAAATATGCAAATTTTCTACCCACCATTACAACGTTGTTTCATGTATTAAAATAAAAACAGTAATATCAAATTTTGTACATCTGAATTAATTAGTTTTTTTTTTGTTTTGTTTTTTTTGTTATTTATTTATTTTACATGATTTATTTTCAACTTTTTACACTTTATTTACACTTAAGAGTATGTGTAATATGTAGATACTGTTAATTAATTCAGACTTCTATCCATATTAATTTAATTTTACCTCCTTGTCGGTCTATATGAAGAATTTATATCCAAAACACAACTAAAACAGTAAAACAAATAAAGTTTGACAGTGATTTGCTGAAATCTATGCATCATAATAATAAACTATGCATGTAATGTGGCTGTATGTTTTAGATCCGCTGTCATCAGTACTGGCCAGAACACAATAAACCCGTCACTGTTTTTGCTGACATCATAATCACTAAACTCACAGAAGACGTGCATCCTGATTGGACGGTCCGGGCACTCAGAGTAGAGAGGGTAAAATAGTTTACAATGTCATTTTTATCTTTTAGATCAACCGCTGTCATAGCAGAGCATCAGTTGCTGACATGTTTATTGCTAGCCTGTTGAATTTATACGTCCAGTTAAATGGCATCCAGTTTAATTGAAAGAAATCTCTGTCGCCCCCTGAAGTAATGAGGTTTTTTTATTGCCACAAAAATGTATGTACCATGGGACCGCATGCTTGCATGTGCTGATTGTGTAGTTGAGTCTGCATATGCATACTTGAGTATGTCCGTGGCCTTACTATGAGTCCAAAAATGCACAATAACAATAATAATGTGGGTGGTTAGGTAAATAATTAGTCCCCAAGGACACATTTAGCCCTTCCTCTCTCTCTTTCTCTCTCCAGCACGGAAGTTACATGATTGTTCATCATTTTAACTACACCTCATGGCCAGAACACGGCGTTCCGGAGTCCAGCTCCACACTCATCCAGTTTGTCAAAGCGGTTCGCTCACACAGAGGCCATGACAACACAACCAACGTGGTCCACTGCAGGTGTGTATATTTGCCCATTAGATTAACAGGAAGTCTTGAGGCTTTTCTTTACAGTTACCGGTGCATGTTTGTTTTTTATCTTATCTTATCTTAATCTCTTATGCAAAACAGACTTCCATAGGACTGGCCAATGTTATTTTAGTTGCATCGAGATAATATTATAGTTTTTATTTTAGTTATTTTGTATTAGGTTTTTTTATTTTTGTTATTTTTTTATTTTATGTTTTACGTTAAGTTACAAAAAAGTGTTTTCATGGTCTTAGTTTTACATATGTGACCCTGGACCACAAAATCAGTCTTAAGTCGCTGGGGTATATTTAGCAATAGCCAAAAATACATTGTATGGGTAAAAATTATTGATTTTTCTTTTATGCCAAAAATCATTAGGATATTAAGTAAAGATCATGTTCCATGAAGATATTTTGTAAATGTCCTACTGTAAATATATTAAACCTTTTTTTGATTAGTAATATGCTTTGCTAAGAATTTCATTTGGACAACTTTAAAGGCGATTTTCTCAATATTTTGATTTTTTTGCACCCTCAGATTCCAGATTTTCAAGTAGTTGTATGTTAGCCAAATATTGTCCTATCATAACAAACCATACATCAATGGAAAGCTTATTTATTCAGCTTTCAGATGATGTATAAATCTCAATTTCTAAAAATTGACCCTTTTTCACAAAAAAGGGTCACATATATGTAAATTTTGTAGACATGGATGTAATGTCTGTATGTGCAGTGCTGGTGTAGGCAGGACTGGAGTGTTCATTGCCCTGGATCATCTCATTCAGCATGTGAGGGATCATGATTTTGTGGATATATATGGCCTGGTCGCAGAGCTGCGCAGTGAGAGGATGTGCATGGTGCAAAACCTGGTAAACCTATTTAAAAATTGACAGATTTCACTTTATATTGCAAAAATAGTTCAGTCTCTGTAGACTTGTGTGAGATGATCATGTTCTCCTGCTCAGATGTTGTTGATATGTGCCTCTCTCTCAGGCTCAGTACATGTTTCTGCATCAGAGCACTCTGGATCTGCTGTCTGCAAAAGGAAACAGTCAGTCCATATGGTTTGTAAATTACTCCGCTCTGGAGAAGATGGACTCGCTGGATGCGATGGAGGGTAAAATACATCCTACAGTCAATGACTTGTGCAGTGCAGTGAGCCTGGTGATTAAAGATCTCTGTCATTCTTCTGCTTTGTCTTGATGGAAACGTATTTTGTCATGTTTGTTCTCTCAGGTGATGTAGAATTGGAGTGGGAAGAGACCACTATGTAACAGGGACATTGTTTCCTGTCAGTCTGTGAGGAGACATGGGACACACTCATTAAAAATCCAGACGCTGGGACTTTGGACCCTGGGGCCAAACACGCTAAGCAAAGGATAAACGAGGAATACAGAAGTGATTCAGAAGCAAACTCAAATATTCTCACCTAAACGGATTGTCTCAGTCTTCCAACCTCTCATTTACATCCACCAGACAATCTCATCTATCAAAGTTTTTTCTAAAGTTCTTGTCCAACTTCTGCAATTATTTTATCTCTACCTAGAATATGGCACACCACCTACTTATGGACTCAAAATGGAACAGACACCAAAAATATGTCTGTTTCTTAAGGAAGTAGGAATATTCAGCAGACTGGAGTGAGAAATTGTGGGGTTTTTATGTCCTGTAGTCAAATGTATTATTAATGCAATTATTAGGGATGAGAGTCATAAGGATGTTTTGCAAAATGATTCCCTTAATGATTCTTTTGGTCTTGGGTTTTTTTTGGGGGACAAATTATGAGATAATTACAACAGAAGAGTATTGCATTCACACAGAACATCAACATATCCCTAGTTATAGTATTCCTTACACCACGAACAAAATATATAACAATAGGTCCACATCAACAGAGAATAACGTTATGTTTATTGCATTGATTTGGAATATCTGTCAATGTTTATAGCGTTCATCTGGAAAAATCACTCTGAAAGAGATTCCAATCCAACGAACTCCATGCCGTTATCGTAAAAGTTATGTGGACTATCCTTTTTAAGACCCGTTCATACTAAGACCGATGCTACATTAGCGTCCACACCAACGGACAATAACTATTTAATAATATAGCTGCAAGCAGCGATTACTGGGGTTCAAGCACTTTAAAACATTTAAGCACATAAGGACAAGACATTGTGTATTATTTAACAAGCCTGTAGCCAGATAAATCAATGATTAAAAAGAGCATTTTTGTCAATTGCAGGTAATTTATCATATAAATATTATGTTTATTAACATTTGTGGCTGTTATAGCTCCACCTACGGTCCGATCTCCATAAAACTTTGCATGATTATTTGGAATCATCTGTCTCATGGGCTCATCTAGTTTGGTGAAGTTTTGAGTTTTCGTTTAGAATTTATAGGCTTTTGGGTATATTTGACCACGCCCCCTTTTCTAAAATGACCTAGTTATAGCTACTCAAAAGGTAAAGTTCAACATTTATTTTTTGGATTATTGATCTAGAATTCAGAGAATCATACTGCAGTGCTTATACTGAGGTTGAGATAGTTCGCAAAAGTAGTTTAGGACTAGTTCGCAAAAGTCGTTTTTTTTAAATAATCAAGAATATTTAATGAATGATTTGAATGACAGCAGTGGTTTTTGAGGCAAAGTTGCTCAATATGAGGATATCTATCAAATGATATGAATATTGTATGGGTGTGTGAAACACCACCTGATTACAGAGGCATAAAACTCTTTAGAACCACCTTGTGGACGATTTCTTTCAAAATTCGTACAGACCCCTAGGGCCATGAGTTGAACATGCCCACCGAGTTTCGTTCCGTTCGGCCTCTGTTAACCTTGTTTAATAGGTGTAAAAATTCACTGGCTGATGGCGGTCATGTTTTTTGAGATACATGAATATCCTTGTGGCACTTTGGACAAAGACACTGCATACCAATTTCAAGTCGATCGGAATAACAGGTGCGTAGTTATAGCCATTTTTGTTTTTCCCTGTTATAGCGCCACCAAGTGGCCAAACTTCACGGTTTTTTTATTGTGACTTCAGATTGAGCTTTTACATGTGTGTTCCAAGTTTGGTGAAGATATCTCTTTCCATTCAAGAGTTATATGCTTTTTAGTAAAAGTGGCTCCGCCCCTTACGTTTTGGCGTCCCGTCGCGACATTGAGTCGAAAGTTCATCTTTTTTGATAATTATTGATATTCACTCTCCAGGTTCTGATCAGGAGAAAAACCTTGGGCTAGTTCGCAAAAGTAGGTTTTTAAAAAAAAATCCTAAATACACTAAAATTTCGATGATCGAACCCGAGGCATGCGTTTTGTCTGTCGTGAGCCAAGGATTCCAGTGGAATAAGACACTTGAGCCTGCGACTAACGGTTTAGAGTTATGAGCGATTTCGTACTTTTGATTGCTGTAGCACCACCATCAGGCCGATTGGGGTGAGCCTTGGTGACATTGTAGACGGTGTGAGTACTACCGTCCCTCTAAGTCTCTACGACTGCCCGATCACTTTTAATGGAGAATGCTGATCCTTGACCATTCTAACAATTACAATAGGGTTTCAGCCCTTAATAAGCGCGTGCAGCAATAAATGTAGTCTGCCACTTTAAATGCTCGAGCTCTATAAAGTCGAATAGATTCTGATAGACTGTCAGTGTTTTATTTTTTCTTTCATCAGCTGGATATAATAGTTCTGAAAAGTGGTTATAACGATATCATTTCCATTTTAAAACCTAATTGTTTGCTGAAGTCATGTCAACTACACACAGCGGGCCATAACTTATTTCTGTGAAGCTATTAGCAGCACACGCTTTTACAGTCGGTTGGGTTTTTATCATGGTTTTTATTCACAGTCAATATTTTTATCGCTTATCAGCTGGAAAGAAGCGCCCTCGACATCGTCCCAAAGACATCTTTCCACCGCGTCATTATTACAGTTGTGGTCTGGTTTGGAGTCCTCTAAGCAGGGACACACTACACGACTAGTTGAAACATTCTAAGACTGAAATCAACACACCTAGTTAGAACGACTTTTATAACCAACCGTTACCGTTCTTGGTGTGAACGGGGCATTATGCTAGTCTAAACAGTTTGAGATCTGACACGAACGATAATTTACCCACAGTGAATGGGAGAAAACGGCACTTTTTATTGTTTGTCACGTATATGTCTATGGCGAATGTTTTGCTAATCAGGAACTGTGAAGTTTGAAAGAGATTTCTCACACATCATCTTTTCATAATCATCTCTGAAGTTTCAGACTGGTGCTTTTTCATTTATTCAGTCGGAATACTTTTATTTTGCTATCCACCGTCCATTAACTTATCCTACAGCTGATGCAGAGTGAGATAACACATACTTTATATGTTCATTCATTTGCAAATAATGACTCAAGTCGTTCATTTGTCTTTTATTGCTTTGTCCATTTGTTCGTGTTACACAGGAAGTGAGGAAATCTGTCATCTCACAAAACTGTAAAGCTCTTTCAGAAGTTACTTATCTTTTTATCATAAATTATTATGAAGCCAAATGAGTGTCAGGAGATGACATACGGTTTTGTTGTGTGTATATTTGGAAATCAACAGTATTTGTGTTTTGAAATAAATATTGTTTTTCTTGTGAAGATCACTGCAGATATTTTGACTGTCACGATTTTCACTGAATAGATTTTTATTATTTTAATTTAATTTAATTTTACTTTGCACAGTGGACAGTAAATGACAGCCCCAGAATTAACTACAATGCTTCATTTCATCTGTAGACCTGTATACTTAAATCATGATCTGTTCTTCACATAAAGCTATTGTATGACTAAGAATATAGAGCAAAAGTACTTTTAAGATATGTTCATGATAGAATAGAGCTTTTTGTCATTTTGGAACTTTACAGCCCTGGTTCTCATTCACTTTTTTATACTTGAAAAGACTGAGCTGAATATTTGTCAAAAATTCACCTTTGTGATAAACAAAAGAATGAAAGTCATGGGTTTGGAATGACATGAGGGTGAGTGAATGTTCTCTCTCTCTCTCTCTCTCTCTCTCTCTTTAAATGGTTACAGTAATGAAAATTGTGTGGTGTTAATGATGTAAAAAAAAAAATCAGGACTATTAATGTAATTCCAAAATATCTGATTGTTGAAATCATTACAGGAGCTCAAATTCATTGGCATTCATAAGCACCCCAGAGTGCACAGACTGTCATTCTCTGTGTGGTTGCTTTGAAGAGTGAGAGAGCATCGGGTGTGAAAGCAGCAATTCAGGACCCTGGAGAGCAGCACTGAAGCTTTCAGATGAAACAATGGGAGGACGCTGGGAGAACACAAGGTCCCTACTTGAGAGGTACTATGATTTTACCATGAGTGAGAAGTGTCATTATGTATGAAATGAAGTGCAACGACAGCAATATGAAATGTTCAATAAATAATCAAAACAAAACAAAAATTCTTCCACAAAGTAATTAAAGAATTTCACTGATATGTGGACACAGGTGTGCAAATATCTACTGTTTTATATTTATTAAATAAGAAAGTAGCTCAAAACATCTAACGTTTAGGTCATTTTGGTAATGTTTTATTTAGAGAAGTCTCTTATGCTCACCATAGCTGCATTTAATTAAAAAAAAAAATACAATAAAAACTCTAGTATTGTGTAATCTATTCCTGTGATGCAAAGCTGAATTTTCAGTCTTCAGTGTCACATGATCCTTCAGAAATCATCCTTGCTCAACAAATAGATTTCTATGAATTTCTCATATTTATTTAAAAAAAATCCTACTAACCTAAAATGTTTGAACTTTTTGAATTAACTATTTTTTTAGTAAGATGATTATAATATTCTTCATTTTAATTTATATAAAAATATATATTTTATTTTTGAGTTACATTTTTCTTCAAATTGCTTATTGGGTGGCAATTTTCTCATACATGGATGCAACTCCAACTAATCTCATTTCAAATTGTGCTTTTGATAAATGGAGTTGTTAATGTTTGTTCATGTAAATAAATGATAATGTTTATAATTAGTACTGATTAGTGAGTCAACACTTGAATGTCAAGTGTAATCAATATGCCGGTCGCATTTAACAGATCTAGCCAACAGTATATGAGAAGGTCTAGCTGAACAATAGATTTATTATATTATTTATTATATTTAACAGGCTGCTGATTACTGTCTTAAATTCCATTGTGATATTTAAGTCCACTGGTACAGAAACACAAACACACACACACAATATCTATTTTCTGCACGTTTAATGATTGTTTAGATATGATTACGTGACATTGCATATACAGGATATGAATGTGAGTGTATCAAGTGTCTTTACACCATATAAAACTTCATACTAGTTTTCAATACAAATATAGATCATAAAAACCTATTAGGTGGGACCATTGATTTGACCATTACAAGGTTATATTTTGATAAGTTATACATGAAAATCAGCATTTTCAGACATATTTTTAGCTTCTCTTTTTTAAATGGAACTTCTGGAAATTGAATTCAAGAAGTTCATGTTAGACTCGAGGATGGAGTTTATGGTGCATTTTCACAAAAATGCAGTGCAGTTTCACAACTTCACAGTCAGAATACGGCCCCTCGCTGGGTTTAAATGTGTCGCTATGTTCTTGGAAACAAATATGTCACTACGTCCTAATTTAACCCAGCAAAAGAACAGCTTCTGACTCGACGTTGTGTGTGATAGAGGAATATACATGAGTTGAACGGTCCCATCAACAAGTCAGAGCAGGTGTGCGCGAAGAAAAGACTGTATTTGATCAGTGCATCTTAATGAATAAACAGCTGTGCAAACTATACAATAAAGCTTTTCATTCTCCTACTCTGTATGAATAAATAGATTTATAAATAAATTTTTTTGCTGCTTTTCTATAATTTCTGTCTAAGCACAGAATGACATCATTTCCAATAAAACAGATATGTAGATACTTGTAATTAAAAACTAGTTTTGTAATTCAAAACTGAATGAAGAAAATAGAAGCATAAATATTAGTATTGTACATCTGAGATATACTCCTGATAAAAGCTCTTTATAGATATCTGCACATAAACATATGAATCTCTCATGACATGCAATACAGAAAACATGAATTCTAAGTGGCAAACACAAACATAATCCACCAGATCATTTTAAAACACAAATGCTCCCCCCCCCCCAAAAGATTTTAACATAATAGTTTAATACACATTTTAAGTGATACGTTTTTAAAAATATACAATTTATCAGTCATAGCCTTGTAGTATACAACATTTGATATTTTCTCAGAGGTTCGATGTGCACCTGGTTTTCACATGAAGCTACCTGAGCACCAGGCTTGATCACAGTAACACGCTACAGAGTCGCTCTATAGGACCAGACACAATAAAAAAAAGTTGATTTAAGATGATTAGCTGGGTTAAAGCCAACCCCTGGCTCTAGTTGGTAAACTATCTCACCACCCTCTTTCAAAATTTTTTGCTTTGTGTTCCTGTAAAAAGTTGTTTTAAAGAAAAAGCATTAGAAAAGTAAGAAAAAAAAGTGTAAACATTTTGATTACTTTTAAACTTTAAAGGAATAATTCACCCAAAAATGAAAGTCTGCTGAAAATGTACTCACCCTCAGGCCATCCAAGATGCAGATGGGTTTGTTTCTTCATCAGAACAGATTTGGAGAAATTTAGCATTACATCATTTGATCACATCTCATGAAGTTTGCCAAAATATTAAAGTTAATAATTCATAATAATGCTTCCTCCAGTGAAAAAGTCCATCCCCGTTGTCCTCTAACATCAAAATCCACCTACACATTTGTTTACAACTGTTTACGCTTGTAAACAGTGCTTGATCTATGTATATTTTTCTCCTGATTCAGACGAGATGTCGTTTTCATTTGAGAAATCAATAATATAGATAGAGACGTTCATTTTAAGTTAAATAGTCTTAATGATGGGTTTGTTTCCTACAAACACGCAGCTTTTCGCTTCACAGGAATGTTAACTGATGGACTGGAGAGGTGTGGATTACTTGTGGATTATTGTGATGTTTTTATCAGCTGTTTGGACTCTCATTCTGACGGCACCCATTCACTGCAGAGGATCCGTTGCTGAGCAAGTGATGGAATGCTACATTTCTCCAAATCTGTTCTGATGAAGAAACAAACTCTTCTACATCTTGGAGGACCTGAGGGTGAGTATGTTTTAAGCAAATTTTCATTTTTGGGTGAACTATTCCTTTCATTTTTACTCATTTATAAATATTAAAAGATCAATACTTGACGTACATTCAATGTATATTTAAATATATATAAATCAATTGAAAAATGTCTGGCTATCTGAATGAAAATGAGCTAACACTTTTAAGCAGGATGCTATAAAATGTTTTTCAATGCTGTAAGTAAAAGTTATTATTATATAAACATTTGAAGTAAAAACCCCAGTTAGGTTTAACCAATCAGAAGTTGTGGACAATAATGATATTAATTAGTGTAGAAATACAGGAACCTCCTATTTCTAGCAAGTACTACATTGAATTGGGTTACAGCATAGATTAGCAATTCACATTGGGCCAAAATGGGCTTTCTAAAGGACATTAGGATACTTTTATGAGAAGGCACAATTCAGGAGCCAGGTATCCAAACGCTTTAAAGGGTTTATGGAGCTCAGTCAACACCCTCATTAGGTGCACGGCTCTCAAGATCAAGCGCTTCCTCCATTCAGGATTGCAGTGTCCTAAATTTCTCAGCAGCTGACGCTGGGACTCTTGACAGGATAAGAAAGTAAGTAGATGATGCCAAATATAGACAAAATCTGTTGCTTTTACCTTGGAAGTTAGAAATTCTTTTGTGGCCACGTCCTGACCTAAATTTCTTCCAAAACCATTGGTTCAGGACATTCACAACACAGTTGGAATTATTCACTAGAGGATTATTTGATATGCAGCAATACAGTCATTCATTTTCAGAAGTAGTTGGCAATTTAAATAAAGCACAAAGTTGAGCTTAATTTATGCAATTGTGCAGATAGATGTCACATGACCTGCCTCCTGATACAGTTGGTTACTGTAGTTAAGTTCAGGATCCGTACTGCAGAGACTTGTTGGTGCAAATTGTTATTTGCTGCATCTAAACCAACTCAAGGGGATGTTCTCTTTTCTAACCTAGTTATTTTACTTTGCATTTGTTCGTTTTCAGAAATGCTGCGAGGTATGATTTATATCCAAATACTGTAATTGGATTTAGTTTTCGAAAGACTAACAGGTAAGACCTTTGAAAGAGGGTGGTGATTTTCTATTTCCACACAAAACACAATGTGAACATTTATATAATTGCCAACATTATTTTATGGTGGTGTCTAGAAACAAATTCATCTTCACAAGCACTCCCTCTACACTACATCCATCTATTGTAGTTCAGGTCAGGGGCAACACACGACATGGGCATTTAAGGAGAAATCAAAATATATAAACATTTCATTTGAATACAGGGTCATGGTGAACACACACAAAAAATCCCTCTTAAAAAAATACTATACATCTACTCACTTTAAATACACACTGTAAGGCCATGAGGACCCAACAATTCTGAGTGTAGCCGCTTTTGAGCGATGTGAGCCTAGATTGGGCTGCTTGTGCTATTTTGTGTCTTCAAAAAGAGTGTACACAATAGTTTAGTTTTAAAGCAATAGTTCATGTAAATATGAAAATTCTGTGGTTTATTCACCCTGATGTTGCTTTACATCCGTATGCTGTTATTTTTTCCATAGAACACAAAAAGAGAATTTTTGAGGAATGTTTTTACAGCTCTTTTCCATGCATTCAAAATAATTTTCATTAGTTGAAATAAAGCTGAAAAATAAAATATAAATATTAGATGAACTTTAAAAATGTAAACAAAAATGAGAAATGTTGCCTTGTCAGCAAACTAAATAAAGTTCAAGTTGAAGTGCTAAAATTATGAAAACTAAAACTGAAATAAAACTACATTTAAGCGAAATAGAATATTTTTTAAAAATCACAAAAGCACATAACTAAAACTTAATCTAAACTTAAAATCAGAAACAGAAAATAAAATAAAAAAGCAAATGTAAAATATGAATAAATATTATAATAGTATATAAATAATACAAAAATAACACTGGACCGTTTACACTTCATAAACTGCAAAATATCCTAATATTAACAAGTATTTTTGTCTGTTTTTGTATTTACTTTCCAGTTAAAATATCTTATTGAAATCTTACTTGAAGCAACACTAAATAAAATATTAAGACTTCTTATTCATAGACAAGTGTATTTGGTCTTACTGCACTGGCAGATTTCTTTTCTTATTTCTCTAATATAATAATGATAATAATAATTAATGCATCTAAATGTTTCCTTGAAAGCCATTTTAGAATTACACTGGCGGTTTTCAGTGAACATAAATTTAATGGACATACATTTTCAGCTCATATATGGCTTAAGAGGACTTCAGAGGCCACAAAATGTACAGACTACATTTAATTGTGCTTTTCATTATATATTTTTTTTCACTATAAATTGTTTTTATACTGGAAAAAAAACTGTGTAAACATTATTCAAAATGTCTTTTTTGTGTTCTGTAAAAAAAAAAAAAAAAATAGAAAAATGAGTTTGGAACGACATGAGAGTGGTTAAATAAAGAGAGAGTGTTCTAGGTTAACCATCCCTTTAACAGGTGTAAACTCGTCTGAGTGTGTGTTGTTCAGACTAGGCTGCGCGTCCCACTGGAGTACCTGCGTTGGCTCAGTAGGTGGCGTGGTGGTGGAGGGGTCGGGGGGCAAAACTGATGCGGGTGATGATAAGGAGGCGGCGGGGGAGGGAGGGGCGGCTGCTGCTGCTGCTGCTGCTGCTTGCCTCCCTCCCGTGACCTGGTGGGCGTGGAGACAGACGATTGGATGAGGCGATGGGCGGGGTTGTGCCTGAGGAACGCCTCCACATGGCCACGCCCAGCAGAGTCCACGACGATCACCTTCACGATCTGCTGGCACTGGATCAGGGTGTCGGGGGAGATGGTGAGGGTGGAGCCAGGGGCGGGGCTAGGCAGGACGGCCAGGTGTTGCTGAGCGCTGGGTGGGGCCAGAGTAGAGCTGAGTTGGTACGTTTGGAGCCTGTTGTGAATTGACACCTAGTTTAGAAACAGCCAGAAGCAGGAAGCGTTATCAGCCTGGCCTGCTGCACTCTCACGGCCCTCTGATGCGGAAACACATGACAAGGCCATGCCACAGAGCATGCAGGCGGCAAAAGACGGCACAACTACATACATACAGTGCGGTCGGAGTGGGTGAAAGCGGGCGACGCTGACTTCCTACTGATGTGATTTGGATAATTAATTACTATCTTATGCACTTCCTTTTATTACTGCACTGCTAAGCAAATGTAAAATATTAATAAATACTATAATAGCATATAAATAACACCGCCCTGCTTCATATTTGCTGAATAAAATCCAGTACTTGTTTCTTAATAATTTTGAGGTGCTGATTCCAAAAATAGGAGCTGTTTTGCTTTAGCATGTCAGAATTTCTCACAAAATATGATACATTTCATAGCATTTTTGCTTTTGACAATTATGGTGAAGAAGTCCTGTATGATCCCTTAATCAGCAGAAAAACTGCCACAAAGATATGATTCCTGTCTTCATCTCAGCAAGGGTAGAATTATTTCTTCAATTCTCAGCCAATTTTCACGTATGAATGTTTCTGAAGACATTATTTCATGCCTAATCTTGATTTCAGTGTTAGAATTATGGCCAGTGACAGAAGAAAATGCAATTTTTTTTTTTTTTTTTTTTGTGGCTTACTTTGTAAAGTTCTTTGACATTAAATGGAGTATGTGAACATATTTTCCCACTCCGCTGAAGACTGTAATCAAAATTTTTATAAAAAAAAAAATCTCATTTTGTAAAAAAAACAACAGCAACAACAAAAAACTGTATATGATGGAAAGTGAAATTAGTTTAAAAAAATTATATTCAAAATTCAAGTATTTTCTGTCTATTTTTGAATTTATCTAATAATAATTTTATAATATTATTTTAGAAAATATCTAATAATAATAATAGACTGTATCTTTAATATAAATTACAAAACTCAAAGTGTATTTTGTCTTACTGCAATGGTAGATATTCTTCTTTCTTTTTTTTCCAAAAATTAATTTTCTTCTTTTTTTTTGTGAAAAACAAGTGCAAAAAATCTGCCAGAGCATGCAGGCAAAACACAGCATGACTACATACATACAATGCAGTCAGAGTGAGCGGTGAAAGCAAGCGACGCTGACTTCCTACTTAAACTGCCGTGATTTGGATAATTAACTGCTATCTTATGCACTTCCTTTTATTACTGCGCTGCTAATCAGACTGTTATATTTTTATCCGTCTGTAAGAAGCATTAAAGTGCCCCTCGAGGGCCTAGACGCTTGGCAGCGAGGGTCCTTATTGCATGCTGGGTAATTTGCACCTTGTCTTGATAGACCTTGTTTGCATGTGTATACGTGTTATGTGTTTGGCATCTCGTGAAAGAGCATTCGTGTAGCCTGTCTGTCCACAGTAACCACAGCTCGGTCCTTTCATTTCGGCTCTTTTTAATGAAGTATTTGAATTTGAATGACTTCCAGTGCAAGAGCTATTGAAACTATTACAATGGTGTTTCTGGGCGTGCATTGCAAATCTTATCTTTGTTATTCCACAAGCAATAACTTTTTTTTTTCCTCTGGTAGGCAAGTGTATTTTGAAATGCAATTTGCAAGCCGTTTTTTTATTCTGTGATCTAATGTACACTACCATTCAAAGGTCTCTCATGCTCACCAAGACTGCATTTATTTGATCAAAAATACAGTAAAATTGTGAAATATTATTATAATTTAAAGTATATGTTTTCTATTTAAATATATTGTAAAATGTAATTATTCCTGTGATGGCAGACGGAATTTTCAGCATCATTACTCCAGTCTTCAGTGTCACATGATCCTTCTAATATGCTGATTTGCTGCTCAAGAAACATTTTTTATTATTATCAATGTTAAAAACAGCTGTGCTGCTTAATATTTTTGTGTAAACCCTGATACGTTTTTTTTCATGATTCTTCAATGAATAGAAAGTTCAAGAGAACAGCATTTATTTGAAATGGAAATCTTTAGAAACATTATAAATGTCTTTGCTGTCACTTTTGATCAATTTAATGCATCTCTACTTAATGAAAGTATTCATTTTTTATTTTTTTTTATTTTACTGACCCCAAATTTTAAACAATATTGTACATCTGAATGTAACAGGCTATAAATTTGGGCTTAATTAGTGCATGGCATCAATGTCTGCATTTCATTGCAATTCCAAAACATTAGCCACGACATTTCCTTTAAAGGCAAAGGCTGTATGTGTGAATGCGCTTATCAGTGTGTCTTACTTAAATACCCTGCCGACATCATTTCCACTAAAGATTTTTACATTTAAAGAATTTCACCCCACAACAACAGCAGCTGTATGCAGCATTTAAAACAGCAGTCAGCAAAAGCCCGCGTGAGAGGCCATAGATTACAGATCACAGCGAGGGGCGGTGGATGGTGTTTTCTGGGGGGCGGCAGTGCTGTTATTGCTCTGCACCAGTGGTGTGTGATTGCAGTGAAGACACCAAGGGCGGGCGTCTCCATTCTGATGGTCAACGGGGTCAGAGTGAGCTCAAAAGTCAAAGGGTAAAGGGCAGGGAGTTTGGGGTCGGTGGGGAGGTTATCTCTGATTCTGCAAGGAGATAGTGATGATAACTGAATAGACAATTAAAAACTACAATACGTGCTGTCACAACCTACAATGTTCCCCAAAAATTTAGAAACACCCTAGGCTTTAAAATGGTCCAATATCAGTATAAATCCTCAACATTTTAAGGTAAATGCATTAAAGTATTATACAATTATCATTGAAGGTAATTTTCTTTTTTATTTGATTGATTGATTGACAGAACAACAGACCAAACAGAATACAGTTTAGAGATGCTTTATAACCAGCTCTAAACCCCTTAAAATAAAGGTTCTTCATTGGCAGTGATGGTTCCATGAAGTTCTCTTTTGAATTTTTATTTTTAAGAGTGTTGTATTTTTCTATGCTTTGAATTTATTTATTTATTTACTTACTTACTTTATTTACTTATTTAAAGAAATAGCTCACCCAAAAATGAAAAAGTGCTCACCCTCAGGCCATAGAAGATGTAGAGTGTGTTTCTTCATCAGAACAGATTTGGAGAAATGTAGCATTTCACCAGTTGCTCACCAATGGATCAATGCAGTGAATGGGTGCCGTCAGAATGAGAGTCCAAACAGCTGATAAAAACATCACAATAATCCACAAGTAATCCACACCACTCGAGTCCATCAGTTAACATCTTGTGTAGGAAAAAGCTGAGTGTTTGAAATAAACAAATCCATCAAGACGTTTTTAACTTCAAACCGTCTGCTAAAACAGCTGGCATCCAGCCTAGATACGAGTCCCTTAGACACTATATTGCTTTCTCCAGTGAAAATGTTGTCTCGTCTGAATCAGGAGAGAAATATGCACAGATCAAGCACTGTTTACAAGCAAAAACAGTCCAAAACATTTTTTTTTATTTTGATGTGAAGAACAACAGGGGATGGACTTTTTCACTGGAGGATGCGTTATTATGGATTATGAACTCATATTTTGGCCAGCAATGGTTTGAAGATATGAAGGATTTGTTTCTTATAAACAGGCAACTTTTCACTTCAGAAGACATTAATTGCTGGACTGGAGTTGTGTGGATTACTTGTGGATTATTGTG